GTGGCACTCGTTGAAGGATAGACTCTGTGTGCCACTGAAAAGCCGCTTCTGAGGGCCACCGTGGGTGAAAGCTCCTGCTCCCCTTGCAGCCTTCTCAGAAGCACTTCACTGACTGCTGTGTTAGTCTGGCGTTGGGCTAGAAGGACCACTGAGTGGATCCACCAGGGGCTTGCTTCCTTTCTCTCTTACGCAAGTCTATTAAATTCACATGACCTCGAAGTGAGCATAGCTGGCATCAGGCTATTAAAGATGTGCATATACACAAAGGTTTATAGTATTCCATGCTTGACCTCCAGTATTAAACTAATTACCATTTTATTTGTGCTCCCCCTTTTCATTTGAAGTCCACATGTTAATGTATCTAGAGGCAGCATGCAACAAATAAAGAGGTACATATGTTGAAGCCATTTTGTCGCTTTGGTGTTTTTTTAAAGCGCATGTACATCTAAAATTGCATTCTAATGTTCTAGTGAACAATGCACTATTATGAAGCAGGTAAGACTCAATCCCAGAGATATGAGTAACTATGAGCTATGTCTCCTGGGCACTCTTCATATTCTTTACAGCCAAGCTATTAAATTATGTAATCTGTTTCTTTCACGGGGAAAAAAATCTAGATTGTAAAATGTTGCGATGTATGGAGAACAGATCCGCAAATTTATGTTGCAGCAGCTTGAACAAACATAATGAATTTAACAAATCTACATCACTCTGCTGTACTGTGGATGACCTCAAAAGGTGTTTGGTGCTGTAAGAACATATCTAATGATGAGAAATATTCAGAATACCATAGCCAATTTTCTTACAACCTCAATACATTCCAGTTGTATTGTACATACTTATTATAAAAATATGCTTCATGCCCAGGAGAAAGTTGGAATCACAACTTGACATGAGAAGGTAATGAAAAATGGAGACTTCAGCTACACATTTTCCATCCATGAGAAGACATGCAGTGGCTATGCGGCAGAAGTCAAAAAGAACAGGGACTGTCTGAACTATCTAATATTTTACTTGACAAACTTCAGCAACAAATGATTATGACATCTATTAGTGATGAAAAACTCCCTACCAAAGTATTGAGACATCGTGATTTAAGTGACATCAGTTTCTATGACCAACGTAACTGGATAGAGCAATGACTCAGTCATATTGAATTGTTTTGGATTTCTGCAGCCTATCTATCTTGAACTCAAGTAGTATAATTTGAAGGATAAAATGCAACCATTCAAAATGTGAGTGGAGGTCATTCTCACAACCAATATTTCTACCATGCACTGACGTTTTACAACTATTTCATAAGAGGGATTCGTAAGAAACTTGATTTTGTAAAAAGGTCCACCACACATTTAACTGGCCAATTCAGATTCATGACACACACGTAGGTTAAGAGACAGACAAATTGTCGGGGGCATTCACAAGCTTGAGCTGCAAGTGGAGCTCACCTGACACTAACTGCCAAGAAAAATTATGATGTGGTAGGAAAACAGATTGCAGGAAAACCTCCCTGTCAGTGGATGGTCAACAGCACAGATGCAAAGGATAGTCGTGCCGTGAGCCATGGCAAGAGGAACACGTGTGCTCTCTCTGCCACTCTCTCATCTCCATGTTCTCTTTACCCAGGGGCAGGCCCTTCACGGACTTCTGAGTTCACCTAAAGTCTGTGGAGATCACATTGACACTCATTTCAGCTCACTTTCATTTTAGTTCCTCTCCTCTTTTCCAGCTGGCTTGAATGGGAAAAGCATTCCCTAAGAAAAGTTCGTTTCTATAAGTATTGCCCAAAACAGTGTGTGCTTCCCTCCGGCAGACTGACTAATGCATGAAATGGATTTCATTAAAAACCCATTCTATTTCCATGTTTTAAACTACACATTTTTCAAGTGCAATCACAAATTCTGGAATTAGATAAGATTTCTGGGGGGCAAGGAAAACCTTCCCCTTTTTTGTATCCAGGATGGTATGATTTGTGAAGAGGAATGTTTTTTCTCCCATTCATTGCCTTTATAGACAAAATGTACCATGCAGCAAGACATGCTGAGGAATAGTAAACAGTCCCAGCATATGCATAAATTTATCCCCATAGGTGTGCAAGAGGACAGGGTGTAATTTTGTGACCGGTAGTGCTAGGTTCTAAACACAATGGTTTTATCAGGACTCTCCAATCCTAATGCTTTGTGGGAATCATAGAACAGTAGAGTTGGAAGGGGCCAAGAGGACCACCAGTTCCAACCCCCTGCTCCATGCAAGATTCCAAATTAAACCATCCCTCTCCAGGGGACTGCCCAGCTGCACCTTGAATGCCTCCAGTGTGGGAGAGCCCTAGGCCATTGGTTCCACTGTGGTACTGCTCTAACAGTCAGGAATTTTTTCCTGATATCTTGTCAGAATCTGGCTTCCTTGTAACATGAGCCCATTATTCCATGTCCTGTACTCTGGGATGATCAAGAAAAGATCCTGGCCTTCCTCTTTGTGACAGCCTTTCAATTACTTTAGGAGTGCTCCTATGTCCCCTTTCACTCTTCTCTTCCTGAGACTAAACATGCCCAGTTCTTTTAATGTCTCCCCACATAACTCTTTTCCAGCCCCTGGATCATCTTGGTTGTCCTCTGAATGCTTTCCAGCTTATCTGCAACTTAAACCGTGGTGCCCAGATTCAAATGAGGCTTAACCAGTGCTGAGTAAAGGGGAACTAATATTTCACAGGATTTGGAATTGATTCTTCTATTAAGGCAGCCCAGAATAGCCTTTGCTCCTTTTTGCAGGCACATCACACTGTTCACTCATATTCAGCTTGTGATCTACAACAATTCCAAGATGCTTCTCACTGGCAGTGTTGCTCAGCCAAGCGCCTCCCATCTTGTTCTTGTGCATTTGGTTCCCGTTTCTTAGGTGTAGAACTTGGCATTTCTCCCTACTAAATTTAATTCTGTTGCTTTCAGCCCAGCACTCCAGCATATCAAGATCACTTTGAATTTTGTTTCTGTCTTACAGAGTAGCAGCTATCCCATTCAGTCTTGTGTCCTCGGCAAATCTGGAAAGCATTCCTGGCACTTCCTTATCTAAATCATTAATAAAAATGTTGAAAAGCACTGGGCCCAGGACCAAACCCTGCGGCACCCACATTTTACCTCTCCCATTTTACAGGACTGAGCCTATGAACTGGGCACTTTGTTAATTTTCCTTTGCAGAAGCAGGAATGTTAGAAGAGGCTTGGTAAATGAGGTCATTCATCACATTCTAAATAAATAAGCCATATCTTGTTCTAAATAAGCCTTATCTCACATTCTGTTTTAAAAATGACACAAACCATCCCCAAACTGAATTTTCCTGCACTGCCAACTTTCAGTGTCGACAATTCACTAGGACATTTTCTCAGTACAAGCCAAAGAACCTACTGCCCTTTCACTTCTGGTTATTCCTCAGCTCACGAACTTGATCAGTTCCACGACTCTGGTCGCAACCCAAATTGGTCGTGAGCCAAGTCAAATTTCCCCATAAGGGTCAATGTAAATAAGGTTAATCCATTCTGTAACCATCTTTTTATCACAAAAATTTGAAATAAAGTGACAAAGAACAGCAAAGATCACGGCCATCTCCCCCTCCCACCACCCTAGAACGATTGTGGCCATCTTCCTCCCACCAGCACGACCACGCTCACACCCGTCTTCCCTGCACGAGCGTGACTGTTGATCGCAGCCATAGACAGACGGGACAGTGGGCGTGCTGGGGGGTGAGATGGGGGCGATCACAGGGGTGCTTGGGGTAGGAGATGGTGTGATCACAGGCACCTCGGGGGGAGAGAAGGGGGCGCGAATGCGGGTGGCTCGGGGGGAGATGGGCGTGATCGTGGGTGCACTCGGGGGGAGAGACAATTGTGCCCATCTCCCCCCCCCCCCCGAGCACAACTGCGATGGTCACCTGATGTGGAGTTTGCAACCTGAGGCAATTTTTTTTGAAATTTCTGTTTGTGATTCGATTTGGTCGTGAACTGAAGCGTTCGTGAGCCAAGGTGCCACTGTAATTGCAGGGCGTGATTAATCTGTCTTACCTGTAACATAAGATCACAGCCTTGACTCTGCATGTCTGATATAACAAGCACAACTGCAGCATTAGAAAGATCAGCTGGGTTCTCCTTAACTGGTTAAGGAGAACTTAGAGTCCAAGATGACAGGGAGAGTGTTAAAAGGTTAGAGAGTTCCTAAGAAAACTTTTGGAGTGATTTGGCCTCAGGAATCTGGGTTCTAATTTCTACTAGGCTGTGAAGTTCCCTGGGTGTTTTGGGACCAGCCACTGACCTTCAGCCCAACCCACCCCACAGGCTTCTCCTGAAGATAAAATGGACAGGAGGAGGGGAATTCGGTAAGTTGCCTTGGATTCAGTGCAAGAACAATGTTGCATTTTAAATAAATAAATAAATAAATGCTTTTGTAAGTGTTTTTATTGAAACTATAGGAATGGTACAGCAACGATTATTTGGGCACAGCATCCTTCCCTCTGTCAGCAAACTCAGGCGGCAACATGGAGCCACTGTGAAACCAGGAGCAGGCATCTGTGTGGCCGAGAGGACCCCGTGTTTTGCAGAAGCATAACAAAACATTTCAAATGAGAACACGCACAGGAGGCAATCCCCTGCCCACCCACGTCACATCCTCCAACAAAAACTGAGCGTGCATGATGGTAGCAGAATGTTGCACTGGTTGGAAGAGAAACTGGAAAAGGAGGAAGAGGGGCGACAGGCAGAAAGACAGAATAAAATGCCTCACTCAAGCCCCTTTCAACTTAAAGTTTCCTGGAGACTGCCTAGCTAGGATCTTGAAGAAGATAAGAAGAAATGAGGATGCATTGCAACATTTCTGGCATGCTCCACTTCTATTATATGTTCTGCAATCCTCCTACGAAACATACACACACACAAGGCACAAACATACACTGCGCTGATGATCTTGTTAGGATAACAAATAATGAGAAAATAATATCTTTTCATAGCAATGCCTTACTTTGGATTATTGCAGTGCCTTTCCTGGTGCCTAACTCCAGCTCCGCAGGTTCTGGAGCAGTCAGACCACTCGGACCATATGGACCATTGGCCGTTAACCGGCTTGGGACCGTGGTCTCCGTATTGCACACACTGGCCTCTTCGACACCACTGTAGGAAAGAATGGAGAAAACCGGTGCTTTTGTCAGTGCTTGCCAGGATGGCTGGGCAAGATAAAAGAAGAACCAGATGTAAGCAATTAGGTACCATTCGAGTGGAATGGCAGATAAGAGCTGGAGGAGGTAGGAAGGCAAAGAAGCAATAAGCATGATTCAAATGAGAACCTAATGTTTGAGAAGGAAGAGATATGGAGCCAGAGAATGTGGGTCTTGCCGTGTGGATCACGAGACCCTGCTCATCCTTACAAAACAGGTAAGCAATGAGAAGTTCAGTCAGGCCAGTTCTGGCTTATTTCCCTCTCTCCTCTCTCAGTTGACGTTCTCAGCATCTTTTACATCCAAGTGGGCAGAAGGCCTTCTTGGGCCTCATCAGGCGTGGTTTTCTTGCAGGCAGAGCCTTTGCTTTTGAAAAAAATATAAATGGAAATGGAAATCACTCCACCTTTTGCCTGATTGTTCCGGATGATGCTTCAATGATAAAGTAATTTTTTATATTAAGGCAAGACAAGACCAAATGTTTGAAAATAAATTTACTGAGAGATGGAGTGTCCTTGCTGCATTTCGGAATAATAAATTGAGGGGAAGGAAACTTCCTTGTTCTTCGTTGTCACAAACTGAATCATTGTCAAGAGAAAATATGCATTTGATTATCTATATGTAATGCAAATAAATAAGGTGGGGGAGCAAGAGGGGAATAAAGGGCTGAACTTAAATGTCCCCCGGTTTCCCTGTCTCATGTGGGGGCAGCCAAAGTGCAGTGTCTTATATGCACATTTTTGTGCAATGAATTTAGTGGGCAGGCAAGGCAGACATGTACCCAGCTTCTCTGCCAGCCACTGCCTCCACTTCCTCATAAAGGAGCTGCATTGCATTGTATTGCATTCTGAAGGGGAGGTTTTTTTGGGGGGGTGGGGGGGAACTGATGTCAGTGCTAGCCAAGAATGGCAGGCACCAGAGTTGCACACCATTTTCCCCAGAACACCATCTTACACCATACAGGGAAATAAAGAAAGCGAGGAACAGCACTGCAAAGCTGGGAGAAGTGCCCGTAGGATTTCCCCCCTGCCCTTCTAACTTACCTTTCCCCCCAGTGCAAAAGAGAGCAAGGAGCTTCACCCCTCCCAGTTCAGACCAGCACTTCAGAAATTTGCCAGCCCAGGGCTTGGTTTCTGGCATTTGTGTTTTGCTCCCCTTGGGAACCTCCCGAGTGTGAGGAAGCTGCTGCACTGTCTGTGGCTGGCCCTGTTCAAGCACTCACAGAGAAAGCGGGCCAGGCACAGAGGTCTCCTGCGGAGGGAGAATTTTCCAGGCTCTGCCTTGACGCTCAATGCCTCCCTTTCCTTTCATTCCAAGAAGAAAAATACTGAATGTGAAAATTCCCCCATCGACTAACATATGAAAATGCGTAGTAATGGGCATTCTTCAAAGGCAGGTGTTTTAAAACTGCCAGTTTGTGACTACAATATTGAGTGGTGCCATGTTTAAGTGCGTGGGACTGGGACTCCGGTGACCTGGGTTCTAGGCCCACTCAGCCACAGAGCTCACTGGGAGACTTTGGGCCAGTCACAGGCTCCCTGCCCAAACTACCTCACAGGGTTGTTGTTGTGCAGATATGTTGGAGAGGAGCAGGGTGATTATGTAAGCCACCTTGAGTTCCCTGAAAAGAAAAATGGTAGGATATATATAAATATAATAATAAATAAGAGTGGGCATGTGAAAATCTCCCGAAGACTGCATTCCCATTTGCATTTGGAGTTGTGAATAGGGCAAATTCAAGCTGAAAATGATTCAAGCCACAATTTGTTTACATTCCTGAGTTGAGGTGGAGGACCAAGCATTGAAGTACTGCTAGAAGGCCATTGCCTTAAAAGCAGAAATACAGAATCAGAAAAAACAGGTGAATGTTGTCTCCCACTCAGAACTATTTCAGCCACAAGTGGGAGTGATCATGAACTGCTCCACATAAAAAGGAGAGGAGAGCAAGTTCGGGAGCAAGCAGGGCTGGGGTCTTTCTCCTTGGCATTCCAATGTAATGTTGGGGTGGGGGTGGCAGGGGGTACGCAGGGGATGCCTGCAGGCCAAGTCCATGAGGGTGTACAAGAGCCATGTTGTGCTGTTCTGCTCATCACATTTCCCTTCCAACAACAGGACAGCCTGCTTATCGGGAAGGGAGCCCCAGCTTGATCAGTGGAGCTTCACCCCAGGAACTTCTGCCATGGGTGCAGCCTTAGCAACTTACCATGCTTATTCCACAAGGGGTCCCTTCTGCCGCGGGCATAAACTTTGTCTCACATCGATGACCTACTTTATGGCACCACAGCGATTTGCATATATCCTGAATTTTTTGAAAGAGAAGAAGCTCCTATTAATCTTAGTCATTCATGTCTGGAACTACCTAATATTTTTATGGCCAGCATCTTGAACACAATGAATCCAGTGAAACAAAAATAATCCTGAGATTTGTGGTATACTGGTCATACTACCTTTGAAATCTTCCCCGTTCGCTTTTCAACATGTAGTATCCAAGGCAACACTCAAAATATTTTTTGAGAAAACACCAATCAGTGTTAAGTGTTTGGAAAACCACAGGATAAGTCTATGCACACTGGTACTCCTATCCTTCTTTCTCTCATTACTTGAGGACTTGCAGCCAGCAGTGTGGTCTGACTCTGCTGAAAGCGCTGTGCCGCATGGAAGTTGAGTCTCAGAACTATGGTAGCTCTTTTGCCTCATGTGACGTTGCTCCCAGTGAATGAGAATATACATGCACGCAAAACAACCCATGTTCCAAGTTAATCTAGTTAATCTATCTTTTCTAAACACATGTCTCTAACCCTTTCCTACGTACACGTCTTATATTTCAGGAAAAGCCTGATGGAATGGCCAAAGAGCTACAACTTTGAAAGTTTATAGGCCAAGCTCCAATGGTGCCACTAGTATGCCTCTGCAAAGGCATGATGGCAACTCACATAGTGGAAACCCACAGTGTTGTGCGGCTCTGTAACTACAAGGGCACTCACAACTGTGTGAACTTTTCCTGCCTATTTGCCACCACCCTTCTCTACTGGGAGATGACTGAGTAAATCATTCCTCCAGCCTTCAGCCAAAAAAGAAGTTGCCCTCGTTCCCAACACAGAGATTTGCAAGAATTTTGTTCCTGTTCACAAATTATACAATCATCTCCTGTTCACAACCACAATTACAAATCAAGCAATAACACCATTCTTGGGAACCTGGACTTGCATGTGGCATACTTTCACAAATTCCCCCAAATTTGCATTTTTATACTTTACCCTATTGAAGAAAATGCAAAAATATGCATTTTAAAATTATATATTTAATATAAAAACAAAATATAATATACATATAATATACATATAATAATATACATTTTTCAATTAGTAAAATGCATTTTTCATGATTAAAAAATAGACACATTCAAGTCAAAACGAGCTTTTTGCAAGAACTTGGGAAATCCACAATCACAGTTGTGGACATGTATGAAAATATATATACACGTAGAACAAGATCATTCTGCTATGTGCTTGGCTGCCAACTGGGCACTCTAGAGTCATTTACCAACCTAAATGGAATCCTCATATATGCCTATTCCAGCCTATTCATGCTGCTGGGAGATGAGCTTGAGCTGTCAGATACTCCGTCCTTCTGCTTGCCTTCATGGAAGGCGGGTGATGGAATGCCCAGACCAGCCTCTGGCTAATCTGGTGATTGAGCCAGGATGGGATCCTGCAGAGGGCATCTATGGGATTCAACTTGCATCCTCTGCGGTCCTGTCTTTATTTGTATGTTTACTTCCTAACATAGATCTTTGCTAACCCTAATTTATTAATTGTTAATAAATGTGTGGCTTTGTTACCCAAAGATAATGCTTAGTATCTTCATTCCTGGGTGTGTGTGTACACACAAACACATGCAAGAACCATAGGATCATACCACTCATGCCACTAAGGGTCCTTTTCTGAAGTTGTCCAGTCTTGCATTCATATCTGAACTTTCTGAAATCACCATCCCCAACGTTTCCACTTTGATGGGTCATGCTGATCTAGATCACCACATATCTTCATGTTGTAACCAGAGATATTGCTCTTCTTCCTTTTTTATCAACATCAGTGTTTGCTTCCCAGACAAGAAATTATATCTGATTCTTTTGTCCAGCCTGCTTCTTAGTAACTCAAGCTGCCAGTTTCTGCTTTCCTTTTTTAACATAAACAAAACCCATCCACTCCTCTCTACTACAGCTGCAAAATGTTGCTCATATTCTTGTTGGATCTTGCCACAAATTCAGTGACCCCTGTCTCCAGCCTTCTTCTATCATACTATTTCCTTTCATCTCTCTACTACAGTAGTGGTGAACTTGTGGCCCTCCAGAAGTGGTTGGACTCCAGCGTCCATTGTCTCCCATAGCCAGATATGATGGAAATTGTAGTCCAACAGCATCTAGAGCACCACAGGTTCCCCACCCCTGGTCTGAATTGTGGAACTGTAACCAATTCCCCCTTGATTTCTTGTGTTCTCTCCAGTCTCTTCCACAGATTTATCCACTCTTTCTTGTCAGTATATTTATATTCCTCTTGCAAAGAACACAAGGTGCTTTATATAGTCCTCTTCCATTCCATTTTATCCTCATAATCCTGGAAGAGGAGTTAAATCAAGAATAAGTGACATGCCCACAGTCACCCAATGAGTAGGGACTAGAACCCTGATCTTTCAGGTCCCCAGTTCAACAGTCTAACCACTAGCTCTCTTACTTTGCCATGAACATGGCCGGGTAATGTCAGTAAGAACACAACCAATTTTATCTTCCTCTCAACACACCAGGGCCACATTTCTCCAGAGAACTGCCAATGCCCAAAATCTTCAGCTATGAATTTTCAGGTTGTAGCCTTTTCTGATCTCCCCATATTGGCAAAACTGTGGAAGACTTTCTCATTAGTAGTACTATATTATTACTTAATTATTTAATTAAATATTATTAAATTAAAGAGATGGGGTAAGCCCATAATTTCTTCACTTATGTTCTGAAATATGGACTTTCAACAGACTAGCTCAGTGGTGGCGAACCTATGGCATGCGTGCCACAGCGGGCACGCAGAGCCCTCCCTGTCAGCACGTGAGCCAAATTGCCCAGCATCACCCCAGGAGCCAAGCATCGGATAACAGCTCACATAGGGGCTATGCGCATGCTTGGAAAGGAGTAGCGGCACCAGGTGATGACATCATGAGCTGCGACTCATTAGTCGAGACTCGTCCGAACTTTCACATGGCCGTTCAGTGTGCTGCCAAGGATAAATATATATTTTCTTGGACTGGCTGTGAGTTTTAATACATTCATTTTTATTAACACAAGATTTCAGCTCTGAGCTTTCTTATGAAAAACTGAAATTTAATATCTAAGATTTAGGAAAGAGAATAAAAAGCTGGTCGTGTCATTGAAAGCTCTGTTATTGTGTTCTTTTAAGACAAAAGATGTTAATGTATGAGTTGCTTTTTCTAAACTAAAACCTCAGTATTCAGGCTTTATTGCAGTGTTGGCACTTTGCAATACTTAAGTGGGTTCTGGGTGCCAACCAGGAGGGTGCGTCCACCACCAGGTATGGCTCAGAGCCTGGTTCAGCGCTTCAGTCCTACTTGATTCAGAGGGCCACCCACTTCAACCCTCCCCTGCATCCAAATGTAATTTCAGAAACCTAACTCTTCATGCCTTCCATTCACTGTCACTGGAAGCCAACAAAAGGCAGCAATGTCTGCATGTTTCTTTGGATGTCTGCTTGCTTTTTGCCAGAATTGCCAGCAGAGGTTTGGGATTCACAGGCTCCAAAGGCTTCCTAGACTAGGATCATTATTTAAACCAGTCCTGGAACTAGCATAAGAAATTTCCCTCCCATTGGTTGCAATGGGAAGCAAATCGTTCAAAACAACAACAACAAAATTGGAATGGAACCGGAGGAAGCTGTTCCTCCTTTACTTTGTTCCTGCTGGCATAAGACTGGCAGGAGTTTGGATGGGGTGAGCCATTCATCTTCAGATCTGCTATTCACTAAACAGTCACAGTGAAATCAGAAATTGGTTGTAGACATGCAGCTTGAAACCTTCTTAATGAGCACAGAATTGTGGGCACCCGCTACTCCTCCCTTATGCCAGCTCCCCATGCTCCCTGCAATTAGATTTTGCATCCTGTAAGCACACCGCTTTCCTGCAGCTATGCTTAGACCACCTTGACTTCCATCCAAGTTAACACCTTCAAAGCAAGCACTGGCTTTGCCAAACAATTTGAGGTTTAGAAATAGTGCAGACCCTGAAGCTCATTGGAACCCCTCCACTCATTCATGGGCTCTTTCTTCATAGCTCATTGTTACTGCAAGTTCTAACGTTGTCAGGAAGTTGCAAGAATAGAAGAAGAAGAAGAAGAAGAAGAAGAAGAAGAAGAAGAAGAAGAAGAAGAAAAGCACCTTCACGAAACTCAGGTTGCAGAGTTTTGCTTTTGCTCCAAATTGCCATTTGCACTGTGTGTCAGCATCATAGATCTGTCCTGGGAGTTTGTCAGGGTATTTGTACTGTCCAACTTGCTTGGGTTCATCTATCAGGCAAGCTGCTTGAGCAGTGCTGAAAGAAAGAAATGTGTCTGTTAATGTCCAATGTGATCATAGGGTGACATGCAGCTCAGACTGTATTAATCAAATGCCAGATAGGGATGTATCAGAATTCTGGTTCTGCTCATGAACATGTGTCAGCCAAAAATATTTGCAAATTGTTGAACCCATGCTCACGTTCATCACATTCCTGATTCCCAGTTTGATTTGTGCAGATTTCCTAATTTTTGCAATTTTGACCACAGAGAGAATCAGCCACATGACTCTGATGAAGGCTACATTTTGGATAATTTTGTATTCAAAATTTGTATAATTTTGGAAAATTGCATCAATTTCCACTACATTTGAGCAATTTTCAATGCACACGAGGTGAATGGGAACAGGGATCAGGCAAGATCTGAGCAGTGTGATGATGTTAGCAGAATCACGGTGGTCTCAAACATCACTTATTCCTCATCCCTATCGTCAGTTGACAGATGGGGTCAAACAGATGCAGGTTGTCCTGAAAAGATTCAGAACATTTTGTGGCTTTCTTTCACAACTCCATGCTCTTCAACTGTGACAAGGTATACATTTTTACAGGAGCAATTCAGAATGAGCTCTTAAATTTACTTTAAAAATCTGTCTGTTTTTCTTATAGCTTTAAAGGTTAATTGCACACTGATAGGAATGACCAGGATAACTTAAAAACTATGTAGTAGTGTGGGACAAAGACAGCCCATTAAATCCTGCTTGGAGTTTTGAAATAGTTGTCCTGTCTACAGATGTTTAACATTTCAAATTAGAAAGGTGTATATTTGATTTTTAAAAGCCATGATATTTTGTGTGTTTTCATAGTAGACAAATTAGGGAGTTTAAATTACCCCACAAGTTCAGGAAATCCCTGTACAAATCTGAATTTTAAAACAGTTATTTGCTAGAACCTTTCTTTGATCCAGCAAAGCTGCCAGACCCACTCCCATTTGGGCAAAAACGTCTGATTTAGCATTTATTTATTTATTTATTTATTTATTTATTTATTTATTTATTTATTTATTAATTAAAACATTTTTATGCCGCCCCATTCACCGAAGCCTCGGGGCGGCTTACAACAATTTTGGTAATTTTGGTCCCAGCTGTAAGATAATGTCTCAGTTAGGCTCAGAAGTATTTCCTCCTTGTCCTGTTGTCAAAACTCTGTTAACACTGTGGGCTCAAAGGCTCCAGGGTACCAGTTACCCCACTTTTCTGAAATCATGCACCAAAATCATGCACCGAAATCATGCACCGAAATCATGCAGGGCTTGCCCTCCTGACAAAATGGCAGAACACTGGTGCATGTAAACAAAAGTTTTGGGGTCACATCTTCTGAGATATGCATTTTTATTTGCACGTTGCCTTCTATACACATTTCAAGCAAATTTCCTAATATAATGCATTTTAGTATCCTATTTTCAATAATACAGGCATTCTTGCGCACTTTTCTGTTGGACGAGTCCAAAGAAGTGCCAACTTTGAAGGAAAGCAGAGCTTCAGTTCACACAGTAGTTTGAAAGTATGAAATCAGGTAACTGGGTGAATTTCTCACCTTTGCACCAATGTCTGTGACACACTCAGACAACATAACTTGGTGACACAAGCCCGGCCAGCCACAGCAAACACCACCAGGAAAGGTGGCGGGGGGGGGGGTGTTATGCCACCTGAAGCAGATGGCACACTCTGCCCAATGACTGGGCCTTTCAACTGAAAGCATATACAGAAACATGCCATTTTTAGTGGTGACACGTGGGCAGGTTTGTGTGCATGTGTAAGAGTGGGGAGGGCAGGTTGGAAGGTTCTGCTCCCACTCATAACCTTCACCCTTACGGATAAAGAGTCTCTATTTTTTCCCACTGAGTGGAAGAACAAAGGAAAAGGAAAAACTGCAGGGGGGGAAATGGTTAAGCAATGTTCACCAGCGCCCTTCACTTGTGATCACAGCCCTGATAGTATTTCCAATTTATAAAAGCGAGGAGGCCAACCAGGCATCTCCTGTGCATCAACTACATAGTTTCAGCCCAGAGAAACTGTGCCCTTTGAGGCTTGTTACGAGCCCAGCAATCTGACTCCTTCGGAAAAATGTAATGCGCTCCTAAAGGATAGTTACAGCTCCACAGTCTTAGTCCCATGTTTTTGAAGCCCTTGAGCAAGAAGGCCTCACTCTTGCAGCTGTTAATTTCCTTGCCATGTCCTTGCAGCCCACTTTGCACCACCAGCCAAAGGGGGGGGGGGGCAAGGCAACTGGAGGCTGCCATGCCCTCTTGTCCCTGTCGCTGCTCACCAGGCTGGGGAAGGGCAGTGGACAATGGGATCCGGAGTTTACTCAATTCACATCTTCCGGAATGTACATGGGCTCCAGTCGAAGTCTATATATCTCTGAGTTTGCAATGTGATAGTCAGACCCCACATACAGAAACAAACTATGCTTGACAGCATATGTATATTTCAAAATGTATATATTTCAAAAATGCACACAACAGATGCATACATTTTGGGAAGGTATGCATAAAATATATACAGATTTATGCAAAAATGAAAGAGGGGGAAGCTTGCAAGTCAGAACAAGCTTCAAGGTGAAATTCAAAGAACTCCAGGGAATTCAAGTCTGCTGATCTGCACATCCCAAGCCAGCTGCAAAAAAGAAGTATCAGTTCCTGGAGATCAGCAGTTGAATCCTTGCTTGGATATGGGCACTGAATGATGTCAGCCCCTGACACTCAACTAACAGGGTATACATAATAATAGGGAGGAGGAGGAGGAATAGTTTAATGATATTCTACAAAAATACATTAAGTCAACGTAAAGCATTACCATGATAAATTTCTCTTAATTTATGATGAACACACAGATTACCATTCTGCTTTCAAAATGGTCAATACACAGTGCAAGAAAACAGAAGCCTAGTAGCAGGCATGCAAGATGTGTTACTAACATAGTGTACTCATAAATCTTCAGTAGTAATCATTTTGTTATCTTCGTTGAAACACTTTAGTTATGGTAAGCCACCTAGGAAGGCCTCAGCAGTTATAGGCATCCTACAAACACATGTAAATACATAAATCCATCCATCCATTCACTGATTTTAGTTGCATATATTTTATGCAAATTCACCAAGCCAGTCCAACCTTTAGAAACCATGCATTGGGAGGAGGCAAACTCTTGGCGCTGCTGTTGCATCTAGCAATTTGACAGACTGTCCTGGGAGCCACCACAACATCACTGCCACGTGACGCAGGGAAAGCAACATGAAATGTGCCCAAAAGGCTGAACATAAGGCAGAGGCAGGACTGGAAACCCCAAATACTACGCAATCCGTTTGATCCCTATTTTACAGGAACCCCACCTCCGTTTGATCCCTATTTTACAGGAACCCCACCTGCCAGCAGGAGAGAGTTTGTGTGTGAGCAGGTGGGCATGTGCGTGTAATCAGGATGGTGGCCAATGACAAGTGGGGTCCCCCAGGGCTCTGTCCTGGGGCCGGTCCTGTTTAATCTTTTCATCAACAACATGGAAGAAGGGGTGAACAGGCTGCTGATCAAATTCGCAGACGACACTAAAACGGGGACAGTGGCCACAACTGAGGAGCAGGTACTCCAGGTCCAAAAGGATCTGGACAGACTATGGAAACGGGCAGGAGACAACAGGATGGCGTTCAATGTGGATAAGTGCAAGGTCCTGCACTTGGGGCATAGGAATAGCTGTCACAAGTACAGGTTAGGTGATAAGTGGCTGGAGAGCAGCACTTGTGAAAGGGACCTCAGGGTGCTGGTTGACTGCAGGCTGAACATGAACCAGCAGTGTGATGCGGTGGTCAAGAGGGCGAACGCCACCCTTGGTTGCATAGCCAGAAGTGTGGCTTCTAGATCGAGAGAGGTATTACTACCACTCTACACGACTCTGGTGCGCCCGCAATTGGAGTGTTGTGTTCAGTTTTGGGCCCCTCATTACAGAAAGGATATAGCCAGGTTGGAGTCAGTGCAGCATAGGGCCACAAGGCTGGTGGCCGGTTTGCAGGGGATGGGGTATGAGGTGAGACTGAGGGAACTGGGTCTCTTCAGCCTGGAGAAGAGGAGACTCAGAGGGGATATGTTGGCAACATACAGGTATGTGAGGGGATGTCACATGGAGATGGGTAGAGACCTGTTCTCCCCTGCAGAGGAAGGCAGGACACGCTCCAACGGAGCAAAGCTCAGGGAGCCAAGGTTCCATTTGGATGCCAGGAAGCACCTCCTGACAGTCAGGACCCCGAGGGTGTGGAATGGGCTTCCATGGGAGGTGGCTGAGGCCCCATCAGTGCGGGTGTTCAAGGAGAGGCTGGACGTGCACATGGTGGGCATGTCGTGAGCGGAGCCGGCTGTTGCCGGAGGTCAGACTAGATGGCCCGGGAGTCCCCTTCCGCCTCGCTCTGCTTCTGTGTCAGAGTGCATGGGCATCTGTGCATGTGCACATGCTTTAAAGCAGGAGGGCCAGATGAAATGATTTTTATTTCAGCACTTTTGTTGGAAGAAGAGCTTTCTATCCATCGTCACAAAACATGCTTCCTTCTGTTTCTCAATAAACGTAAGTCCTATTTGGGTGTTCAGAATCATGTGATTGGTTTCACAGGGCCAGGCCCACTAGCCCCAGAGCCCCGTGTTCCACTGCCCACGTGTTGGCAGGGAATGCCTGAAGAGCAGAGGTGGCTTCTGTGGTGGGAAACCCTGCAAGACCCGCATTCTGCATTGCAGAAGCTTCCCCACGCTGGACCTTCCCCCTCAAAATGTAGATGGGGCTGGAGCCATGCCTAGCCACACTGCAAAATGCAGGCCTTGTGATCTGGAAAATCCCAAGAATCCAAAGGAAAAACCTTCAATCTGAAACCTACCTGAGAAATTTGTTAAGATACTGACGGCTGCACACAGACCACGAAAACACTCCATTGTTCCCCGTGAGAGTGGGCGACATAATGTTGCCTTCAGCTTTTCTGCAGGGGTTCCCTTCTCCATCATGAATCATGCCAAAACTGGGGAAAAAAGAAAAAGGGAAAAGAAATTGAATACATCAAGTCAAAAAAGACAGGAGGAGAATCGTGCCAATAAATGATTGTAACTGGAACCTGCTGAACATGGAATGGTATTTGGAAATGACACGTGGTCCAGAACACAGCCGCAAGTGTGCTAACAGTGGGATCAGCTGAGGCAGGCGACACAGAGCATGCCTCTCCAGCTTTTACACACTACAGCTACTTTCCCAGCTCAATTCAAAGCACTGCTTTTTACTTGAAATGGGCTGGGCTGTCAGGAGCTGAGGTCCCCCCTTCAAACAATCACCAGCCACAGACCGTCTTCCTTGCAACTGTCTCTATTGCTCCCAAGTACAAATTACGCAGAACAGGTCTTTGAGCATGCACAGAGGGGTTTGTTGCACCCAATCTAGTGTTTATTTACAGGAATTCTCCTTTTGAACATGCTGGGGCCCCTTCTCTGTGCATGCTGTAAACAAACCTCCTCTCCACAAACAGCTCATTCAGTCAGGCCTCCCACCTCACCATGGAGTGGAACACAAGGGGGCGAGGGGCTGGTCCGCATGTGAGGATTCCTCCTTCTCAGGGACACCTCCACTGGTTGTTCATCTTGAAATGCTTGGCTCAGTGAAGCACCAGACACTGAGATAATCTCCTCCTCCTCCCTCTCAGAATCTTTAGCTAGCCTGAGCTTCCCAATCTCACTGAAATGTGCTTCACTTTCTAATTCTGAATCATTCTCTGGAATGCAGCCAGCGGTCCCTGGGAATGACTGCCCAAGCCCGCTATTCTTCTTACTCCCAACATGGGGCCAGAATGTTACAGGCAGGTTCTTCCATATGAATTAATTCACTCGCTGACATGGAGTGCCCACATCTATGGTGGCTTGCGTGTTGGACTACAACTAGGAATAACAAGATTCAAACCTCCACTCAGCCATGAAGCTTACTGGGTGACTTTGGGCCGGTCACTATCTTTCAAACAGGTCTGATAGGCAAATAGCATAGCAGGAAAGAACTGTGTATATTTTCCTGAACTCATTGAAAGAGAAACAAGGAATAAAGGTAACCAGTCAATCAATCTTCATTTTATTGATGGAAGATCAATCTTCAATTGATAGATTGAAGACTCTATTTTCCTCTACCGAGAGAATGCAGGTGGGCTTTTAACACAAAACAGGAATTTTTCAGAGGCGGTATCTGGAGTTCAGAACTTCCTTTTCAACGTAGACTTGTTTGCACATTACACTAAGATGGCCAGCTAAGACCTTGATGTTTTAGGGGTTGAAAATTTGTGACCGTCCAGATGTTTTGATCATCAGCCTCTCACCATTGGCTATACTGTCTTGAGATGGTGGGGGTCATAGGCCCAAACATTGGGAAGGCTATATATTACCCAGATCTCATTTATTCCTTTGCTTAGCTGCAGGGGGGAGGGGGGTTAATTGCCGCTCATGGTGTGTGTCTATTGTGTTTTTTTACATCTTTATTTTCCCCAACTTCCTTGCAGATACTTGGAGATGGGAAGATAGGAAATAAATACATTAGATAAATATAATTAAATAATGTATTAGTATAAACTTTGGGCCTAATATTTTAAAGTAATGACCTGGAATTCAGTCTTTCCTCTCCAAGACCTACTCTAACCCAAATGTATGAAATAGAAGCCAGTGTTAACATTTTCTTCAATCATACGTATTATTTTGCACTTTGCCTGATTATCTAGCACCCTCAAATCCATGCACTTCATGACTTCCTAAGGTAAGTTGCCTATTCTTCCATACTATCTTATATGTAATGTAAAGTGCAAGCTCCAGCTAACAGACAGAGGCACTCATGCCCCAATTGTAAATAGAAACATAGAAACAGAGTGAGTCAGAAGGAGCCTCCTGGGCCACCTAGTCTGACCTCTGGCACCAGCCGGCTCCGCTCACGACATGCCCACCATGTGCACGTCCAGCCTATCCTTGAACACCCACACCAATGGGGCCTCAACCACCTCCCGGGGAAGCCCATTCCACACCCTCGGGGTCTTGACTGTCAGGAAGTGCTTCCTGGTATCTAAATGGAACCTTGGTTCCCTGAAATACAATTTGAAGTACAATTTGTCTGCCCCAGGAAAAAAAAACAGGAAACTCACATCTCTCAAGACCACACAGGATGCAAATTAGGGTTATTTCTGGGAGAACTTTTGCATGGGTAATTAAGGGACCAAGCCCTGAGTCTGTAACTCTGTTCATCACTGTACCACAAAGGGGCAAACTAGGTGTTAAGTACCATGGATTTAATGCAAAGGTTCCCTTCTTCTGATAGGAATATTTGCCTAATGGAAGGACTCTGTGCAACAGAAGAGCTCCTTCCATGTGAAGAAGATTTCTTCTTTTAGAGGATGAGAACCTTGGAGCCAGCTCCATGTATGTAAGTATGAAACTGCTCGATTCATTCAAAAGAGAGCATGTGACCTGAACTGAGAAGCAAAATTGTTACTTAGACCACAACCACCTCATCTCTTTTCTATATGACTTGGGAAGTTCCATGCTTAAATAACAGCAGACTGAAATTTCTGAGATTTTTATTCTTGTATATAAAATGGTGCATATTTTCCACCATTATTTTGTGGGGGTTGCTTTACTTTTCCCCACAGTGTTCCTAAAAGCACAGTGTGAAAGATCATAAATACTGCCCAGGAAGGGGAAGAAAGACACTGCATCACTGCCATTGCTAATGGCGAGCCCCAGCCTGAAAGTATTATTAGGTAATTCCAAGTTCCCCAGAGAACATTCGGCAAGTGCCCCTCCCCATGTTGTCACCCACAAAAAGGGTGGAGAATCTGGGGAAATGATTTTCTTTCAGCTCCAGTATGAATGCATGAGATTGATGCTATTGAATTGTGCTTGCCCCCAAACCTCCAACCAGAAAGCCTCTCATGTTTCTCATGAAACTTGAGCTGATCAATGGAATGGAATGCGAATGTCCTGCATTTCATAGAGAAGGAAGTTCTATCAAAGCTTAAGAGATTTATTGGATTTTAAAAATCATATAATAATTGCAACGGTTCCCTCCCATCTATAATTATTATCTGACTGCTAATAGGCTCATTAGGCAACACTTCTAAGGAACACCTGCCTCCAGGCAACTCAAGGCCAAAGCTGCCAATTTCCCATATTATACAGCTGAAAAGGCACATACTTGGACAAATGACAGTGAGGGAAATTTCTAGTAATTGTTGCCAAATGAAAGAATTGCTGTCTTTCCAAGATACTTTTTTTGGAAGACATTTCGTAAATCCTTCCTGTCCGGATATCAGCATTTCTATGCCAAGCTGAAAAAAGGGAGATTATAACAGAAATAGAAGACAAAAACCCCAGGAAAGAACAACAATCATTGGATTATATTACTGAAAATAGGAAAACAGAAGAAGAAGAAGAATATAGGGCTGTGATGCAAAATAGTATGTTTTTTGCACAGCTCTACACATGTGCTTTCACAGGACACAAATCTGCTGGGAAACCTTTTGGTGTCATCCACTTGTTCGGCTCCCAGTAATTCCAGTGAGGTTTCTGCAGAACATACTTGCTTCCCTTTCTAATTAAACTCCCATTTTAGTTTCACTGTCCCTTGAGCAGGGCAGCTTCCCAGTCTTGCACTCTTGTTCGGCTGTCAAATGTGTGACTGGAGCTTTCACCAGCAGTTATGCTTACTGTAAAGACACTTCCAGAAATCCACGCAACTGAATTCTGTGGTAGCTTCCATGGGCCCTCTCCATCTTTTCTGTGACAGAGGGGCTTGAAGAGGTCTTAACCTTCCACCAAAATTGCCCAACAAAACATATCTATTAGGACTTTAAAAGCCAGACTGTTCTGAAAAGCAAATGTTAGGGTCAGACTGTTATTTTTAATGTCTGAATACATTTAACATATCTTTTAAAATAGCAGCTGCCTGTAGGGTGTTGTGCCTTCCCTCCTGATCCTATGCACTTCTGTAGTGCAGGATCTTATTATAAATCATGCTTCAAAAAGGAGCCTTGAATAAAGAAATGCAAGATAGAAATAATAAACCCCCTCCACCATAACTCTTTATGGCATTTCTGCATCAGTTTTCATATTAGACCCCAGATAGGAGGCATATTAAAATACACAGGCATGGCGGGGTGAGGATTTTGCTTTGATTCATTTTTATAAGTATTTGGCAAAATAAGCATTTTGGTCATATATGGGAAGGGAAAAAACATGAATGCAGGAACAAGTAAAACTAACAGAATCACCCATCCCCATGCTGTCCTATGTACCTGCCTCCAGTTTGAAAACTGCGTTCGCCTTCCCGTGTGCTTCGGGTGAGCAGTCCGCACTGGTTTGTCTTGTGTTTTCAACTCTACACAGTCATCTGCTCGAGATACTGTTTGGCATGTAGTTATTGCCATTTTAAGAAATTCCATCCCTGCTCCACATTCTTTTTTACACATTGAAATCTTCTGGGGAGCAAGAAATCTACTGGGGAGCAAGAAATCTACTGGGAAGAACCCATTCGTAACTGATGGAAAGGCCAGGCAACCAGGGATGTGCACTGCTCTGTTCTGAATGGATGTGCTTTCTGTCCGGAACTAAGGCAGTGCTGATGCCAGTTTTCTGGGGGTCTGTGAGCGAAATGCTCTGAATGATTCCCCTCCCTGATGAACCTGCCTTCCGCTGCCCATTTTCCTCCTTTGTCTCATCACTGGAATGGTGCGTGTCCTTGATCAGCAGACTGCTAGTGAACAGCTAATCGGCAGTGGCATCTGCTCAGAGCAAATGAGCAGGTTGCAATGGTGAAGAGGCAGAGAATCTCTGGGGAGTTTTTCTCAGTGGGACCCCTGCTGGGGTGGTGGCCTTCAGCAGGTGTCCAGCCATGCCTACCCTTGAGGCTGGTGCTGCATAACAGCCAAGCAATTGGTGCTGGACTAAACAAAATTATCCTCAAAGAAGACAATCTCACCCTGGAAAGAAGGATATACCCATGTCACAACTGTTGTGAGTGCGCACTCCATCACTGCAGTTATGTATGGCTATAAAAGGCCTAAGAGGTATATTTCTGAATTCCACTATTTCTTTGTATTTGCTTTGTTCCCCCTCTTCCCCACTGAAATCCCTGGCAATGTTGCCACTGAATTCAGAATTAATCTTTGTAATCCCTCATTTCCTTTCAGATGGACAGAAACCTGCAAAAGGACCACTCATGCAGACACGAGGTCACAGCCAATGCTCTACAGTGTCTTTACACAATGAGAATTAAATAGCTCCGAGCAGCCATGCAAAAGCTGGGATTTATGTAGCAAGTGACTGGGATGACAGCAGCATGGCCATTGACAAAAGGCGAAGAGCTGAATGGAGCTGTCAGCCAACAAAAGGGAGCTTCTGTGTGGGATATATTTTCATACAGTTTCCTGAACAAAGAAAATTCTGGATTTAATCTTGCCTTCATGCTCAGTGCCATGGTTAGTCTATGATGGATACCTTGGGAACGCAATGGCACAGCGGGGGTTAATTTATTCAAAGGCATCACTAGGAAGGAAATGATAAATGTAAAAGAGCATCACTATCAAAGAGTAAATGCAAACCCTAACAAAATAGCTAGACCATCCCACATGTACGATTCTCCAGCCTTCCAGTAGCAATCACAGTGGCCATTGGAAAGTTGTTCATTCCTGTGAAGACAGGAATATAAAAATGCAACAGAAGAACAGTTCCATTGGATCACATAAAAGATCCATCCAGCCCACTCTTCTCTTTCACATGGTGACCAGCCATAGGCTTCCAAAACGCCCACAAGTAAGAAATCTCCCTCTTGCTGCCTCCCAACAGCCTCTCATGGTGCCTCTGTAATCGGAGTGGCCTTTCACAACTAATTGCTGTTGACAGACCTACCCTCCATGCATCTTCCTATAGGCGCCCCTTGAAGATAAGTGCCCTAAGCACACACAGGGGAAAGGTGTAAAAGAGAGGAAATGGACTGGTGTTCTCCATGACCTTTACATCTTCTTGTCTAGTGGGCTCATGTATAGTAGCTCAAGGGGGTGCTCATTTTTAGCCTGCTCGAGGCCTCTATGGCCCACGGTATTACCCCAAATCCAGGACAAATTTACAGATGTATTTACAATGGTCCCCAAAATTACTCAGTTTCTGCTGTTTAGCAAGCCTCCAGGGGAAGGAGATGCTACAGGAAAGTGAGAAAGAGAGTGTCTGAGTGCTACAGAGATCAAATAATCCACATGGTAAGAATAATAAGAGGTCTCTCCAGTATGCGGTTCCCAAGTTTTCCTTGACTTTGGACATGCTCAAAAGGTCCCAAGCACTGCAATCAGGTGCCTTGTTTCAGCCCTTTGGGTCAATGATGTCCAGATGCAGCGTGACTTCGGTCATGATGGTCGGCCTGCAGTCCACACAACTGCCATAGATACACAGAGAACCAGTGGAGGCTCCAGTGGGCACTAACCAGCAAAAAGCCAATGGCTTTCCATATGTAGGGAATGGGGCCCAAACTCTGTTCAGTCCTGGATTTTGGGAGGTATAGAAAGTTTCTCTCTTTCTCTATAATATAGAGAATGCTGAGTGTAAAATCAGAGGGGAAGAGGTCTGCCCATTTTTTAAGAATTCAGAATTATACCATGCCACTATGTAGCATGATAAAGCATCATTTTGGGGTAGAAAGATTAATGTTACCACAAGCAGCACTATAGCCCACTTATACTATAATATATACTATAATTTTATACTATATATACAAACTTTATACTATAATACCCACTTTATACTATAATAAATGCATTGTTCTTTCAGATGCCACATAACCCTTTGTTCTTTGGCTGGAACGAACTGATTTCCCACCCCTCTATACATTGTTACAAGTAGCAAGGAGGCTATGCAGGAGTTGTGGTAAGTGTTCTTCTCACACACTGCGAAATCTGCCTGCCCCCAGTCCAGCCCATAAAAAGAGAAGACACTCTTTTGCTTCAAAGCTCGGGCCCCCAATTCAGGCAAAACATTTTGAATTTTGAAAATTTGGTCCAGCACTATTGCTAAGAGAAACTCAGAAAGGGCCCTAGGAAAACCAACCCAAGTATTGTATCTGGCAATACTGTATAGATAAAGCAGTACATAGATAAATTCAAATCCTATAAAACAAAACCCTATTTCTTTCAAAGTGGATTATCTCCTCTGCAATTCACCATCCCTTTCTAAGCAAATTATAGACAAAACTTAGCAGCACAAGCTTCAAATTATGCAGAGCTACAAAGTAGTCTGTACCTGACAACAGTTTACAGTGTGAAGGCCAACCCGGCACGCCTGTGAGAAATGTCTCCGGAAAAGACCTAGACAAAGCCAATAAGAGCCTTTACGTAACTGCAGATACCTTCCCATTGCCAGACCTGCATGGACAAGCCGTCATCAAACGAAGCATTAACATAACAGCCAAAGCACAGTATAAAAATGTGCCTATCACCATCACCATCATGGTCTTTTCATTAGCTTGTAGGGAGAAAGACTCACGAGAAATAGCTTACTTGTGTCCAGATTCATGAGCAATAGTAAATGCCAAACCGAGGCCAGTGTCTTCATTGATGGTACAACTACGGTATTTACTGCACATTCCACTGATTGGAGCAAAACCTGTCAGGAAAAATGGGTAATGATGAATTGATGGAAGAAAGGAATGACATTGTGTGTATATCTTTATTCTGCTGCATTAATTCAAAGAGATTCAGCACATATTTTGTGTGAAGACGATTCAGGGCACATTTAGTTTTGTCATGTAGAAGGAATACACAAGACAAACTCGTGTACACATGGCAAGGCTGGGCCCAACCCAAGAAAAATGCATTCTGTCTGCAGCAGCTGGCCCACAAAACTAACACAGGCTCATTTTCTCTGCTGACTCAACATCAGCTCAGTCAGCTGGGAAAGCTATTTTAAATGGGGGCGCCAACTCTATTATGAAGGTCAGCCAGAAAGAAGAAGGCTGCTGTTGGCCAGAGATATTTTCAAGATCTATAACAACATGACTGAATGGAAGATTCCCCAAGCAAGAGCGGCCAGCCAAAGTGAGGGCCCCAGAAGACCTCTCCTTTTGGCTCAGTCTTGCTGGGACCAAAATCCTGACTGGGTAACATTGAAGGGAACTGTGAGGCTGACACCTGACTGCTACCTTCTAATTCAATTTCTCCCCTTGGGCCGCCTTAGGGGGATAATTGACCATGACAGTAAGCATGCTGATGAATGGAGGCCCTGTCTAAAAGGAGCTACTCCTATGTAGTGCGGTAACTGGATGGCTTAGGCAAAATTCTGACCCTTCATAGCATGGTCACAGTAGACCTCATCTTCCCAGATATTCCTCTCATGCTGCCCTCATTGCTTCAGTGATTTTTTAAAAAGAGGTCCTATTTCAGAAACAGAACATTCATAGCAATCTAGTTCTCAGTGCTACAAAATGAGGCATAACTTTGCAGCTGGATTAGGTCCTTCACAAGCTGAGGCATATTCTGATCACAGCTGTGATATGCTGTATTACTTCCTAGCAAAGGGCAGCATATCCAGCAACTTCCAAAAGAGAGAGAGAGAGAGAGAGAGAGAGAGAGAGAGAGAGAGAGAGAGAGAGAGAGAGAGAGAATATAAATTTAGGCTGTAACCTTATCAATGGCATTCTCTGCACTTGTTTGCCTCCAAACATGGAGGCTTCTGAGCATCTGGTAGGAAAAGTGGTAGAGGTGATCTCTGCCCGGCCACCCTTCCCGCTCTGCAATTCAGCTAGATGGCTGGTGTCCAGCTACAGTGCTCTGGCAGTTGGAGCACTGTCAGGAGTTGGCCACAGTCTTCTCCATTCCCCTCCCACCCCAGTGTGGCTCTCCTGACCTCAGAGGAGCAGCCAGTGTAGCACTTTCTGCACTGGCTGCGAGGCAGGGGAGGAAGGCAGAGCATGGATCCCCAGCTCCAAGGCTGGGGCTCTGGGAATCCATGGACTCCTAGTCACTTTCCAGGGGCCATAGGATCACCCTTTTATTCATGTACTGCATCTGAACACAAACATGTGCACTAAAATGTAAATCTAAGCAAGAATACGTGCATTTTAAAAGTTCTTATAAAATGGCTTGTTTATACATACTGCCAAGCAGATTCAACAAATTCATGGAGAACAGAGCTATTAATGGCTCCTGGTCATGATTCACCCAGTATCTGAGGCAGGACCTCTGTGTGTCAGTTGCAGAGTAATATGCGCAGGGAGAAGCTACAGCTTTGTGCGCCAGTCATGGGCCTCCACAGGTCTTATTTGCTACTGTGCAAGCAGAATGCTGGGCTAACCAGGTCTCTGATCTGATCCAGCATAGTTCTTATTATAGTCAGTGATTTTCTTTCTCTCCAAGCCAATGTGCATGCCTGGACTCTACCTGCTAGCAATCATAATAAATACAAAATCAAGCAACCAGGTACATTGTAATGCTCCATAATACACTATTTAGGCTGATAAATCCCGATGGATTACACTGTTTACATTGCTGCATTGCCATCGCCTCCCCATGCAGTATTTCCTTTGCCTTACCCAAAGTGTCACATGGTTCATTCTTCCAGGAGCAGATATCAAAGCCAGTCAGCAAGATGGCATGGTCGTGCCTCTTCCCGTTCTTTCCGACCAGAGCAGATTGCCACTGACAGAAACTGTTTAATGACTGGTCTGCATGATGGTTGATCACAAGTCCACCCTATAGACAATGCACAGACAGGCACAGAAATTCTACCACCAGTATTTTAAAATGGAGCAAACCTTGGAAAGCAGCACGAAGCACTTGGGGACCAAACAGAGTACTTTGCTCATCTCTTTAGAGCAATGGGCTCTAGTGCATCTGCACTGGATGCAAGTAAGTCTGGATTTCTATGGCTCCAACCTGCAGATTGTTCAGTAAACTGGTTTTTTCTAAGTTATGCAGATTGCACAGTCCTGCAAACCAGTTTTTCCACATTGTTTTGGTTTAAGTTACATATGGGTACCCTAATGTACACTAAGTAGGGATGTATGGATTTCAAGGATATACAGATTAGAGCTAATAGGTATGAGTGCTCATCTGAATTAATAAGAGTAGAGTGAAATTTTGTTAAAAGAAAAAATGATCCCATCATGGGCAAAACAACAGAGTGAAAGCTGACTGCCAATCTACAAACACAGGCAAAATGGATTTCACAAAATCCAAGCATCCTCGATGGAGAGCCATTCCTTTGATTTGTTTCATTCTTGCAGACCCAAGTATCTTAACTGATAGGCACTGCATGCTAAACAATTATTGGAAGTTTTTCAAATTAAAACTCAATTGCTGTTTTTGCCATCTATGGCCACTCCCTCATAAAAGTTTGTGTGTTTGACTGATTATTTGACTTCTCTATTGCCCAATAGCCGAAGCTGCCTGGGTGCTTCACACCAAATGCATACATAAGGGATTCTCAAGCATACTGCTAGAGACATGTGCATTTTTAGGTATTAGCACTGTTGAAGATGTAGGGCAAGCCGGGGGAGAGGAGATTTTCCAGCTTTACTGGTAACTGTGAGAGGCAGTGGTGGAGACAGTGGGAAGCTCAGTTAACACCACAAAAGGCCACCTGGTTAGCTGACTTCACTGACATTAGCAGTTGCACAGGGCTGACAGACGTGCTCACTGCCTTCATCCCAGCATCCCTGTTTCTTCTGAGAAGGACAGGTCATCCCCTCCCAGCTCCTTTGCTCCTCAGGGGCAGCTGCTGACCTCCATTAGCAAACGGCTTCATCAGCCACCCCAGTCAAGTGATCTAGGATGATTCAAGCAGTTCATGCATCTTTTGTGAAATCGTATGTTCAAAGCAGGACTTTGAGTCTGTCTTTAATGGGCTCAAGTCCACCACAGAACTTCTCCAGGACAAAAATTGCTGAAACCAAGGAGCTGCATGAACAAACATGGATTCAAGTTTGCATTTGTGCTCCCATTCCAGGAAGAATTCTCAGAAAGTGCTTCCAAGAAGATATCTGTTTGGAGAACTATTGCGCATCATCACATTATGACCTTATAGTTCATCTTAGTGTACATTTTTTCAAAGTTGCATATTCTGTGAATGCAAGCTCAGGAACTTTGAGAGAACATGCATGCCCACTGGCATTTGAGTTTACATGTGTGCCCTGCAAATGTGAGGGAGAGGCTGGCAAAGTGATACAGAAATGTCATATAGCTCCAGCTAGAAGATCATAACCTGCAGCAATGAGATGACCAAAGTTTAAAAGGAGACTTCACATAGCAACATGACTGTACCGTTATGCAACCTCCTTCTGAACCCTGGTCGCCTCATCTCTGCAGGTACTGTTAATCCTCCATGACTCCACAGCCTCCGTCTGTGCTGCACAGACATGCTAAGCCCCCATGCACTTTAGATAAGATAGCAGGTCTTGCAGCACCGGATCCCCTACCCTCCCAGCCCAAGTGTGAGTAAAATCACAGTACTCAAAAGGTTAAAATATATAGTTTACGATGACATGAGAATCTTTTCTCTGGGATGGGGGGGTTATATTATCTGTCTCCGAATTCAGTGCAAAATATATTTGGACACATAAAGACGGCACAGCACTTACAGGTTCCTGCTCCAAAAGAAGAAGGCTCACAACTATGATATTGATGTCACTTCCAATTGTACCATCCTTGAAAAGACTGGATACCTTTGTGAAGGTTAATGTAGACAAGGGAGTAAAGAAAAGAACAGGTTGTAAGCATATCCAATAATAAAAACATAATCTGCTACTGCTGCAGCTCCACTCGATGTTGCATTCATTTCAAAGGTGCAATCCATCAAGTTTTCCTATGGAGCACTCCACTGAAATGGATGGAAGTACAAGTCTTACACCCACTCCCAGGGCTGAGCATTGCCCTCTCCTTCTCCCACACAGCTTCAAGGAGAAGCTGCTTCTTCTTCCTTTTTTTCTTCTTCCTTTGCTTGAGTTTGTACCTCAACAGGGAATTCTTCTCTAACACTATTTAGGTTTCATTTCAACAGGGCAGCTTCATATAACTTGGTCTGAAGTGGACTTATTTTGAAAGAAACCATAGTTCATGTTAAACCACGATCAGTAGTTCAGATGCGACAACTAGCCAAGTTTGAAGGAAATTAGAAATAAAAGTTTCCCAAATTATTCTCCTAACAGTTGGTGGAGAACAGGTACAGGAGTACAAAAGAGTCACTTAGTACAGCATCCAAAAACACACAGCTATTACACATCAGTCGTTCTCAAGTATGCAAATGTTGTGGCTATCACAGAAGCATCAGGGTTAACTACAGTATAAGCCGAGCACTACTGGAGTGCTAGCATTTGACCTAAGCCCCATACAAGCCCAAGATGGATGTGTTTCCTTGTTTGTTTATGGATATGACCCACTTTTGCACTTTCACAAATGTTCAAGGAACTGATGATAAAAATTAAAGATACACAATGAATAGAACCCAACAGTCACAGCTCTGTGCAGCATCTACTACTGAAAATATAAAATAAATTATACAAATGTGCTGTCGTTGTTGTTGTTAGTCACGAAGTCGTGTCCGACCCATCGTGACCCCATGGACAACATTCCTCCAGGCCTTCCTGTCCTCCACCATCCCCCAGAGTCCACTTCTAATGCAACACCAATAGTGCATTACAGCTTGTTTATATTCACAGAGCAAAATTTGTGTTCGCAGTGGTGTCAGACTGGATATTGTCCAATATTAAACAGACAAAACTTCAAATATTCGCAGTCAGAAAGCCAAATGCTACAAAGCAACTTGTTATAGCAGATAGAGTTCAAAGTGCTGTCTATAAACACCAACCTCCCTGACTGCTACTGTTTCCTTGGTAAAGAAGACATATTTTTCTGGCACCTAAAAGATGCTATGTTAGAAAAAAGCCCTGAACCATGGGAAACCCACTGAATTTCCAGAATAAGATGCAACAGCAGCAGGGCTTCGGAAGACAAGTTTACTAAACAGGCACAACCACAGAGAAGGCAGTCCTTCATAGAGACAGGTCCCAGGCCTAGAGGGTCTCGAAGACCACTTTGAACTGTGCCTGGAAGACAACTGGGGACCCAATTCCCTTTAGATCTCACGCTGCCTTCCCCCCTTCCCTTAGCTTCAGGTTCAGCTGCCTTCTTGTTAAGGATGGGTGACTGAACCCATTCCCAGAGAAGCAGGCATTCCAACTTCTGAGCAGCACTCTGGCCAGCAAAAGCGAGGAGAGAGGTCAGGAGGGGAAACAGGGAGCAAGTTCATAACCTCATTTCCTTCCTCACACTGGAGCAAGTCTTAATCACTTGAACAAGGCCTTGGGACTGATTGCATTGTGCTGCTTAATTTAGAATGACACAGCTTCTTGCAAGTACAAAAGCTACACACAAACCAGGCCAAGCACTGCTGAGAAAAGGAAATGGTTTATGAAAGAAAAACATGTCCTTGTACATAAATTTCATTCTATGTTCACTGTGCAAGACCATCAGGCAGCTTTTTAACAGGCCTCTGCCAAGGATTCTCTCATTTCCATCTTTACTTTGGAAGCTGCACATTCGGCAAAGCCAAACAAATTACTGGGGAAAAAGATATTCCCATTGTTGAAGTTTCAATCTGTTTCCAGCACTGTTCAGTACCCTCTTTCTTGGTTCCATCATGTTTCCTTTTCCCTCACTCTGTGCAGCCTCACTTGCCCACTCCACTATTGCATTTATGTATGAATGTGTATTTGTTATATTTTTAATTTAAAAGCTTTGTTCCCACTTTTTTAGCAACAACAAAAAGTGCCTGCCAAAGTGGCTTTCAGCTAAAAATGCAATGGACCCCACCGAATAGCCAGGAGAGAATTCTGCCTGTGAACACATTAGCCAAAACCCACCGAATGTCTGGGCAGCTCCACCAAGGGGACAGCCATCGGCAGACCATGGCCTGTCAGATGAGGCAGGGCTCCCACTGCGCTTCTCCTACTGGCCCCTCAACAGATTCTTGGAGGACATTTTCAGCGACGGTTGGATTCTGGGAGGCTTCCCCCTCCCACCAATGCCATCATCCTTTCAGCACCAGGTTTAGCTTTCCCTCTACTCCTGGGCAGGGGTGGCACACAATGATCATGTCAGTGTTTGAGCAGGTTCTGATATTTCCATGCTTATATATCTCGAAAGCAAGATTTCATGGCATGGGCTGTATTCTTCAGACATAAAGTATACACGTGAGATTGCAAAATGTAAGCTAAAGACAATTTCTGGGAAACTCATCTCAAAATGCACATTATGCGCTAGGGAAATGTGTACGTACAGTCTAGATGCCGCTGAACTTCACTGCCTCACTACAGTTAATGACAAATAACGTTAGCAGATGTGGAGCCTTACCCATCAGCCACACAAGGCTGTCTTACCATGTTCATCACTGTTAAGATATATGTGGTCACATTCTCCTTGCTGTGCTTCTCAAGCATTTTTTTGTCTGCCACAACCAGGGTTTCCACGTTCAGACTTCCACCCTTCTGACTTTTAATGGGGGATCTCCTGGACCTTGCAGAGCTCCCATACTCATCAGATAGGATGAGCAGATCTTCTGCGGGTGGCTTAGGTGCGTCTAGAGGAAACAGAGCAGAGATTTGGAAAAAGTTCGGGAGTTATTTTCTCTTCTTTTTTAATGAGCAGTCTGATTCTGCCCTAAAGTACTGAGGGACTAGAAGTTCGAATGAAAGTGCAATATTCTAAAGGATCCCGAATGCTGATTAAAATGGGCTGCTAAATGTAGAGTGCTCTTAAAGGCATTATTAAAGCTTGATTCACCTTCCTTCATGAAAAAATGAAAGAAAATATTCTTAATATACATTCTGTAGACAGAAAATATTCTGTAGACAGCATAATACTAAAAGAATTTTACATTCTTGGAGGAAAAACACTGCTATCTTCTGCTAAATACCTTTCTATCCACCTGTGGCACCAGCCCACCCACACATGTCCCCCACACAGACTTTTCTTTCTACCCCCTGCAATATCTGGGGACCCATTCAAGTGACTTCTCTGAGTGTGTGGCCTGACTTAATTGGACACCCATTTTCTGATGTGCAGCACTCCCAAAAGCACAAATGGAACAGTGTTCAGACTGTCAGGATGGCAAATAAAATACTGGGTTCTGTTCGGAAGAAAGATGCAGAATGATGCTTGGGCTAAGCAAAAAAAGATTTCCGTGGTTCATACAGATTGACTCCAACATTCCACAAACCAGTTGTCAATTCCTCCATCAGACAATGGGTTCCAAATTAGTGCTAAAAACCGCACACACTGTTGAAACTAAAAATCTCAATAACTCCCATTTTGCCAGTGATATATTTCCATGTCACACACACTAATTTCCTTGCCTCACCTACATCTCTGCATACAGGTTTACAAAAGGTTGCAAAACCTATTTAAGAGAATCCAAACACATGACATTTTAGGTGAATACCTGTTTCAACTGTCCCTCTAAAAATGTGAAGTGTGAATGTGATAAACATTCAAAGACACTCATTCAAAGCAATAGGTTGCTGCAGCTCCCACACCTCTGCATAATATGTCAAGAGTAGGACTTATGTACACACCAGAGAAAACAATGCCTTTTCTACATCATCTTGCCCCTTCAACTCTACTATTCTAAAGCCTATGATTCTACAAACTTATTTGCTCTCTCCAGACAATGTATATTCTGTGCAGATACTTCATGGAGACTATTCCTGTTTATTATGTAAGGATAGGTGGATAGCAACTTTTGTTGCTGAGTTAAGGAAAGTGTGCATATTATGCTACTTTGTTGTGTAAGTGGGAGCATGGTCTGTTTACTGTTTTCTTTCCCACCCTCCATCTGTCCTTTCAGCTTGGCTCTGTTTCTTGAGACATCAAATGCTACCTGCTCCAAAAGAACAGTAACTCTGCTCTCTCTTTATGATAACATCTTGCAGCAGATAGTTCAACTTTTGGTTCCTTCAGATGCTGAGATGTGAGCATCTTTCTTCCTGGGTCTGGCATCTTACGGAAGGAAATCAGTCTTGATTAGAAATGAAGACAGAATACAAATGAAGAAGTGCAGCAATGCATTTGCAGCTTATATAAATGGACTTCAACTTCTGTTCCAATTTATTCCACAGAGTCCCATAAAATTAGCTTCCAATGGGATTTCACAAAGCCAGATGTTGAAGTGAAATATTCTGATGTCTTCTACTTTGCTCACAGCCCTGAAGTGCATGCAAATCAAATAGCATTTATTCCATGGAAATGTTATAGAATTACAGCCAGCCATCCAAAACTTCTTGCCTTCTGTGGCATTAGGTAGATATGAAATATTTTCCAGAGTCTTAACCCTTTGGTCTGTTGAAGGAAGAATAATGAGGCACCTTATAGAATTAAATCAGTGCCTACTTCTTCCCAGAACATACACAACTAATTTTTGAATAAAAAGAATAGGAAACTGCCTTCTGCAGAGTCAGACTTTTAATCTGCTTAGTTCAATACACTGACTGATAGTGGTTCTCTAACTATCAGTTGGATGGTCGTCTCTTCCACCTTTACCTGCATATACTGGAGACTAAACTTGGGATCCTTTGTTTGCAAAGCATGTGCTCGACTGCTGAATTGCAGTCCCACATCAAGGAAATGTTGGATTTGTTTGTTTGTTTGTTTGTTTGTTTTTATAGTTCCACTTCCATGCTGCCAATTACTTAAAAAGTCCCTAGGTAAATTTGCATGTATAGAGTAATGCATCTGATTTCAGTGGTGGATCAGTTGACAATGTACTAATCTTTAAAATCACTGGAACTTAAATGTGCTTAGGATTTGCTCTACTGGACACAAGGTCTTCTATAGGGGGAAAATTCCAGGTCCTTCCTAGATATCTGTAGTCTCAAATCATGGCCAGCAGATGCTTGTGCCTTTTGAATTCAAAGCTCTTCTATCTATGGTGAGCTATATGATCAGCCAATCCAGGTGCATCAGTTCCTGCTGATCTATTTCGACCAAGTCAAAGATTCTCACTGTGATCCTTTTGCTGGACTACATTATTTCAGAGTGGAAACTGCTTAGGGATTTGCCAAATATGTAGTGATATATGAATGGTAAATAAATAAAAACTGCATGACTAAATGCCCACACACATATAAAACTTCAGCACATCACAGTGGGCAGCTACTGTTTAATGGAGCTTTGTCTGGCTAAATTAGCTCAAGAGCCCATTCATGAAACCCATGATTGGGCAAGATTAGAAAGGTGGGGGGAAGGGTCTTGTGGGTTTTATCAGGACCTGTAACCTTCCATCCCAAATTTCAGCACTGATCTTTGGCTTGGCCTCCTTGGAACATGCATTTCACCAGATGGTGCAAATTTCACCACCTACACTCTCCCACATGTGAAAGGAAATACAGGAAATGCTGTCTCAAGCACCATGGAGCACCCACAAAGTCACTTTTGGCATGCTTGCAAATTGGGTTCGGCTCTTTGAGGAGACTGGGGCTGCTATGGATGCCATTTTTGTGCAATTAAAAAAATATTTTTTCAGGTGTAGGAAACTGCCGTTTGAACAGAGGGTCTTCTTCACACACAGGGTCCCCTCTTGTAGTCTGAAGCATCATAGCCTAGGTGTTGCTCACCTCAAATGACTGATTTAGGAGCCTTTTCTAAAAGCTTATTTTGCATGTATGATAACTTTCTTTTTCTGACAGCCCAGATTGTGGATGTGGTATACCGAGAAGTTTGACTGCTGAGCCAAAATCCCAGTTTCCTGTGCATTGTACCACTGTAAATACATGTAAAATGTTTGCACTCTCTCCATATCGTAGGTCGCAGTGCTCCAACGGCTTAACATTATCTCAACATTGTCAGCCAGCCTTGAAATCTAGAAGGCACCATCTTGGGAAGGCTGCTCTAAAGACCTATGTGAGGTCTTCCTTCCCAATCATCCCACCAAGCTGAAAATGAGGGTCAAGATGAGTTAAGAAAGGCCCTGTAAGAGGCCTTCTGTGCATGGGTCCAGTATTCAAAATGATGCAGGAGCATGCCAGATGGAAAACACTGCTGTACCACTATGAAATGTACCATGTATATTTTAATTTCTCCATCCACCTTTTCCTCTGAAAAACATGGGGCATGTCTCTAAGGAAATACTGAATCCAAGTATGGTACAGCCCAGTTAATTTGTTATCTCCCTTCAATAAAGGGAACAGACAGGACTGTATGCACAGTACTCACACATGCAGAATGGGATTTTTCCAGCAACATAATATCCAAAAATAAGGCTTGAATATATTGCAAATTCACTGGAGAAGATCCTAATGCCGGGACGATTGAAGACAAAAGGAGAAGGGTATGGCAGAGGTTGAGATGGCTAGATGGGGTCACTGGGGTGATGGGTGTGGGCTTGGGTGGACTCTGGGGGATGGTGGAGGACAGGAGAGCCTGGAGGAATGTTGTCCATGGGGTCGCGATGAGTTGGGCATGACTTGGCAACTAAATTATATATGTATGCATGGAATTTAAATGCATTGAACAAGAGTCTTCTCTGACAGATCAATGCCTTCTGCTGATGGAGCGCCCCTTTCCATCAAAGGGCACCTCTCCCATTGCTGAAAGGGAAGCTCTGGATTCAAGCCAATGTGTTTAGGCTTGAGACACCATCCTACAACTGGGGCTCAGACCCTGAGAATCCCAGTGCATAGCTGGCTCATACTATTACGAAGGTAAGCAGCAGAGGCAAGTATTGCCAATTCACATGGGCACTTCTGTGCCTTTGGCTTGGCTCAACTCTGTTTCAGTGCATCAACAAGTATCTGTGGTTCTTGATATTCAGCAACAAGATCTGTGACCTGGAATGCACAGGGGTGGACCAAAAGGCTACAACCACTCACAGAGTTGCTCTGCCTGTTTTGAGTGATGCTGTCCTCACATTACAGCCACCACATTACATGGCCCATGGTGTTCACAGGCTTCCTGTCCTGTGAGAGAGGCTTTTGGGATCACACAGTGGACAAAGGTGAGGAGAAGGGAGGGGAAAGAGCTGTGCTTGGAGTAACCTTCTGCACCACAACCTTTAGATTGAACCCTTTGCTTGTTGAAGTCAAACCAGCAAAAACACAGCACACATTTCAGTGTGCTTAAAAATATGTTTTGCTAGGAATGTGTATTGTGCATGTGTCACAAAATATATAGCTTTACAGCATGCAGCAGATAGCTTTCCCAAGCCACCTGATTTCTGGGTTAGTCTGGTATTTGCTTTTGCTTTGAAAGAAGGAAAAGTTATTAAAAAGTGGCTGGGGGCACCAAATTACTAAACCGTGACTTGTTAAACATGAACTGCTTGCCCGGACTGTTCTGTAATGTATATACCGTGGGATGAGTAGCTTTATAAACTACTGATTAATGCAGAATTTCTAGAAACTCCAAGATGAGTGCAATTATTAAAGAATATTGGAAGCACCAAATGTTAGTTCTATGCCGTAATGTTAAATATTTTATTCTCATTTTAAAATATCTATTTGAAGATCAATCTTTTGCCTGCAACTAGAGCAAGGTCACCTTTCAGAACGAATCAGCCAAATAATAATCATTTTAAAACATTTAGCTGCACTTGCACTGAGGAACTCTAAGCATCCAGGTAGAAAAAAAACCCATGGCAACCTTTCACAGTTCCTTTTAGTAGTAAGCCAGCTCTCCTGAGCACATTCAACAAGCATTTGAGTTTGATATTCATAAAGGCCACCAGCAAGCAACTTAGCTACCCTAAAGGAAGCGCTGAAGTCCTGTTCCAATAGTCATTTGAAATAAACGTGTGATTGGCGTCATCCTGTTGATGCAGCCTTTACTGTGAGACACTGAGGGACCCATGAGCCCAGTGCCGGTGAGCATCCTCATGACTGATGCCTTCCGTTTATCAAGAGCTATGGCTTGTGTAGGAGGCTTTGATATCCAGAGGTTGGGGCAGGGCGAACCTGACCATGGATCTATTTCTGTTTCAATGAATACATAAACAGAGCTACAGGTATCAGAATTTTGTGAGATTTTTCTTAGAGCCAATGCATAGGAAGCAGCAATCATGTGAAGGTTACCATTTTGCATAGTGATTGCTATATAATGAACATGACGGCTTAATGTGCAGAGGAAGATTTTCTCCACACACTGCAAACCTCCTCCAGAAAAAGTTTCTGACAGCTCACAGAAAAACCTGCTGTAGATGGTAAGTGTCTACATTTTCAGTTTTTCCACCCAAAATAGTCATATTGCGAATATGTTGCAAATTGACCTTAGGAAAGCTGAGGCTATAGCAGCATTGCTTTCTGCTCACAAAACGTGAGCATGCCCCATGTGAAGGACCAAATGCAAGCATGTGTCTACCAAAGATATTTGTGATTTGTTTTAATTGAATCATAGAATCATACAACTGGAAGGGGCCCAGAGGGTCATCGGATCCAACCGTCTGCTCAGTGCTGGTCTCAAGTCTCCCATCCACATTCTAACCAGGCCTAACCCTGCTTAGTTTCCAAGCTTAGGCAGAATCAGGCACTGCAGGCTGTTGAAAACATGCTCATGATTGTCTCCTTCCCAGTTTCCTTATTTGTAGAAATTTCTTTAACAGCCTCACTTTAGTTTATGAAGAAAACTGTGCAAATTTGGAGAGATTTATTCAAATTTTCTGCTCCATTGCTATTTGATTTACACAGGTTTCTCATTTCCAGAAAGGGTGTAATTAATTGGATGTGAGAAAAGCAACAAGGTGATGTTCATAGAAGCCTTGCAATCACAAACATCACTCATTTACTCACCCCTAATTAAAAAAACTTCTGAATTTTGGCTGGGAGAACATGCATTTAGCACAATTGAAAATGCAAGCGTATGAAAATGGTGAATGTCACTGCAGCTCCCCCCACAATCTGGTTTCACATGTAGAGGCTCTACAGATGGGGCTGAGATAGAAACGAATAATTGAACTGGACCTCAGCTCCCTTATCACTAAAATGGGAAAGCAAAGGGCATGCAATGGCTCTAGAGAGTGTCTAGAGATCCACAGGAATTTTTGGAGTCCCAGCTCTGGCGTTAAAAAAAACAGCTGACTTGTAGAGCTGCCGCTCTGCATTTGGAGTGCCCTCCTCTCCCCTCATGTCCAGTGCAGAAAGAGCCAGGCAGACTGCTTCTCCGAGGCTGCAAAAGGGAAGGGGTATTGGAGACAGGGCTTAGGGGGCTTTCCGGAGGGCAAGGATTGGTCCTACATAGATACGACATAACCTGGTGGTGTCTCAGCCTTCCCCCACTCCCGCCCTGGCTGCTGTGCCACAGTTTGATAGCTACCGTCAGCCCTGCAGGACAACCTTCCCCTCTGCTCTCCTCCTGCCTCACATAGGGTGCCCATAATCTCCAAGTTCAGAGGGTTCCCAGCATCCCCATAGGATTGCACCCTGACCGTAGTGAAGCAGAATGAGATGATGCTCCCACCCAAAGTTCGGGAATGCTCTCGAGCCCATCCGTCTCTCCACATGAGCAGAGTCTTCCCTGCTTGCTCTGGGCTCCACAGTCTCTTTGCACGAGTGGCAGAAACAAAGAGCTATTGCTCCCTTTCAAGCGGACAGAAAAGTCCCTCTTCATATAGTTCTCCATGTACTTGTTCAATACCTGCGTGGATCTGCAGCACTACCAGACTGGGACTCACAGAAACAAATCCTGATCATTTAAAAATGCTCTTGCTATTTGGGCAATTTGTAACATGCAGCCACCATCACAGCCATGACTGCAAACCGGCTCAAAACTAAGCACCTAATAATCTAAGAACTACTATGTCAAAAAGAGAGAGAAAGTTTCCTTACATACATTTCTTGCGACGTCCACAAAAATGCTGCTTTTGAAACCTTCCGTGATGGTAACCATTAGCTTGAGCGTGATACTTGTGGGCAGTGTGAGCTCTGTGATGGCCAGGGGGAAAGTGATGGGGATTGGAATGTACTTTGTACCGGTGAACCTTCTCTTCGGCTGTCCGTTTGTACAATACGTGAGGGTGGTGTCCAGCAGGTGGCATGTAGTGGTGTTCCTGTGCTAGGTGTTGAGGTAATGGAGATATAAGGAAGTCATTCTCCTGTGTCCTTATCAAACCTGACTAAAAAGATAAATATAAAGAAAAATGAAGGTTATACATATGTTCACTAGGCAAATATTTCTCAAATGCAGCCTGCAAGAGATGGTACTGCAGGCCACCACGGTATCCCTTTGATCGTTTCCTTGTGTGGGATTTGACTGTACTATGGCCCACGGCTAGGTAGCAGCACCCTTGGGCCATCAAAGGGTCCCGTCAGTGCAGATGCTTGGCCTACCCTCCAGTTCCCTTGGCCATCCCGCCCCGCCCCGCCCCACCTCAGCACCAGCTTTAAATAAGAGGGACCCCTTGGCAAAGTGTTCCAGTGGGCCCCTCTCTGCTCATCCCCTTGGCCACATGCTTGCTCTTCTAGCAATGGGCTATTCTGGATGAGCCTGGAAGCTGCCTGCCATTTTAAATTCCCCACAAGGCCTGAGTGTGTCCATCACTGTGTGCCTGAGTGTGTCCACTCTGGAGGCATCACAGAAAATTAAAGTGGCAGTCAGCCTCCCCAGACTCAGTCACTGTTGCCAGGCAAGTGCGTGGGTGGGTGGGGGACCAAGCTGGCACCTAGCGGCATGAAATGTAAATGGGGGCACGCCAGAGAGACTTTGCCAGGACCCTCCAGCCTGGAGCTGAACCCATTCCATGGCTTCAGCTTCTAAGTCTACAGCTAATGCCAGTTTAAGAGATACCACGTTCTGTTGCCAGGTTCTCAAATGGCTTCCTCTGCAACACTTTTGCAGCTGAAAGCTTGATGAATACACCTGGGCATTGCTGAGAAGACATGAAGAAGAGCAGCAGCTGTGTCTCCTGTCTCACCAGGATCATCATCAAAACTAAATCTGATAAGCTGGTAACTGCAGGATGTTAACACTGAAGGACATCCAGATCAGAAGGTTCAAATACAGATGTGGATGTGTCATAGCTTAAGAGAATCCCAGACATAATTTAGTACACATGGCACTTTAACTGGCAGCTAAATTTAGATACGATCAAAAATCAATGAATAATCATAGATATTCCACAGAGGCAGGGCAGCCTGAAATAACTCAGTACATGCCAATATACATAAACAGAGAATTACTGATAAAGTATCTATTTAAGCATACTTAACCTTTCATTGAAATGAAGGGCATTTGACTATACTATTAAGCATGATGATTGCAATGAAACATGTGTACTGCTTATTTTCCTTGAGTCTGCATTTTTGAGGTATATACACACACTACTAGGCATTTCCTTGGATCTCATGGAAGCTCCCAGGGAGATGCATGTTCCCAGAATGAGCCTAGGCCTTTTTTGTATTCCTTGAAACTTTGCAAAAAAGACATACTGCATGTATTCAGAACAGCTTTGCTGGATAAATACCCTTTTTCAACCATAATTAACAGAGGGATGTATGGGCCAGTCAACTCATAACATTGTTCTTGCTCCTATGGAATTCAGTGCTGGCTCCTAGAGACATCAGGGCTGATGGCCTAAGAACCAGAGGTGTGTGCACTCTTCGGCTTCCTTCTGACACACGCAGAGAATTTCCTTCTGGTCTGATCAACAGCCCCCTGTGTAAGGTGGGAAAGACCCATAACTGGTCCTACACACATGGTGCTCGGCTCTACCAGGGAGAATCAGCTTCAGTGTGTGTGCAAAAGGTTTCTCATGCATCCTACCATTTTATACAGAACAGTCTTAAATCTGGAAAGCTTCAGGCTCCTGCTGGAAAGGCCTGCCAGTCTGTGGCTAAAAGTACACTGAGAAATGTCAATAGCAGGAGCCTGAAGCTGCCCACCAACATTCAGCATCTGCACAGCTGACTGAGCAGGCACTTGGGGTACCTGGTCACAGTCCTCTTATTTCTATTGAAATATTCGCCATCACTTCTAAATCTGCATCTGTGCCTATAAATTCGCACAAATTGCAAATCCTTGCCCTCTGCTATCCTTCTTTGGTGATGGCTTGCTTTTTTTTTTTTTTTTCTTTTCCTTTTATGATGGTCAAGAGATCACCTTACTTGTATGAGAGGGTGAGAAAGGGGAGACGGGGCAAAGCTTGCACTTGTCTTATTCTTGGGACATCCAGACCAAAAGGTTTAGCTGCCTTGAAAATAAATCCACAAAATACATTAGTCCACCTTCTTGTGTGTACCTATTTGTAGAGATTTATGGGACCCCCGTTCCCTCAGTTTGCACATACCCATGTGCAAATATTTGCTCCTGTAATGCAGAGGTGGGCAACTCATCGCCCTCCAGGCGATCTGGCCTACAGGTCTCTTAAGGCAAGCCAGCCCAGCCACTGATGAGCCCCAATGGGAGCTGCAGCCTTCCAGGTCTTTTGGCCAGCAAATTTTCCACGCTGAGGCCTAATAGGATCTCACACAGTAATCCTGAATGGTGTAGGGGGTGGAGTGGTAGATCTCCAAATTCTCTCCAATAGCAGAAGGGGATCTCTGACTCCTGGAAGGCAGTTCAGGGACGTTAAGGTTGCTCTGCTAACCCTCTTCAGCATGAAGGTATCTAGACAGCTTCTGATCCAAATCACAAGGTCAGAAACATTTGCACAGTTGTAAAGATTCTCTCTGTCTTTCTCTCTCTTGTACATACCCTCTCATCACCAGCCATAGCAATTAAAGGCGAATATTCTTGCTTTTACAGCATCCTTATTTCTGGACAATTTTTGTTTCAAGGGCTGACAAGCTTTATTGAGGTCACCACTCCTGTGAACCTTGTTAACCACTTGTCAGCTTCTGTTTATGCTCACCTGGTTCATCAAAACCAGATGTACCAAGAGCTTTGAGTATTCAACTGCTGTCTGCTCAGTGGAAGGGTACCACATTGTTAACCATATTGTGAACTTCCCTCTCCTGGAAAAAGCCTTTAAAATCTATTGAATGAATGGATGTGATTCTCTTAAATGGTGAGTTAGACATTCAGCAAACGCCAAGTGCGTTCTTTTCCATACCAGCTCAAAGGAAGCCCAATGTGTTAATTTCAATTCCCAGTACACTGTATATTGGATTCTACAGGATTTAGCTGAATAATGCATATGGGATTATGTCTAAAACTTGTAGCAGAGATTGATGTGCTATACCTTTCTCTCCCCACCACCATCCCCCAACCATACACTGCCATGTTGTGAGCTGAGAGTTGCTTTGGAGAATCACAGTACCATATATCGGGGATGGTGGAGTTGATGTGCCCACAGAAGATCCATTCACACCATGCATCTCCTGTTAAAGGGGTGCCAGATCTAGGAGCACTCCCCTCCCTCCCTCCCTCACCCTTGGCTATACGCACCCCCACACTGAATGGGCAAAGCTGGCTTTCTGCCCGTGGAGACACTTTGGCAGGGACCCAGCTGCACTGCACACAGGCATCCCCAGCCGAAGAAAACCCACCTGCAGCAAAGCACAGGAGGCAGGGAGGCAGGGAGGGAGGTGCTCATCCACCTGTTGTCCCAGCCAGGGTGGCTCCGCCTGTACTGCATCCTTCCACGTCAGGATAGCGAGCACCATGCTCAGGGAATTACCGCTGTTCTCTTCGAGCAGTGATCAGAGGCAGCAGCGGGCATTTCCCCTAACCCCCCACAGGCCCCTCCAATGGGGAGGGTGAGCACCAAGCAGGGAGAATGCCATGGACCATGAAGGGGCAGGGCTGGGGTGAAGAGGCGCCCTGTCAAGGCACTGAGGGCGGGGTGGGCCAGCCTAATGGCTCCAATTTAGCCCAGAGCCCAAAGCCCCCCACTCCATCTCTGGCCTACATCCAGGCACCCAGAATTAGTGAAGATAAAGCAGTCAAAATCCAAGCAGTCCAGAGAAGAGCTTCATCCTGTGGGAAAATGCAAGGCTGTGGTACCCCACTCTGTGCCTGAAAATGGAGGTTGTTGAGCACAACCTACAGGGCCCCATCCAGAGTACATCTGCAAATGCTGCTTGAGAATGGTTCACTCGGAGTAGCCCTTCTCCACTAGGTGCAGACATCATCTGGCCTTCAGCCACACCTGCACCTTTGGGGCTGGGATTCTGGGAGGTGCACAGCCCGAGGGGAAAGAGGCTGGTGCCCCCGCAAGGGCCCGGGAGCACCTCGTCTGCCTCAAAGTCCTTTGGCAGGTGGTGCTCCTGCACAGTGACTGGCTCAAGAGGCTGCTGGCCATCCTCTGAACAGAATCCCTCCAGGGGGCACAAGTTCAGGCAAATCAGCAACATTCAAGCTGTCTGAATCTTCCAAAGCCTTTTATGTGAAAAGCCATGTATATTTTAGTGTAAAATTTCCCAAGTGTACACTTTAACTGGGCACATCTCTGAAGTGTGCACATTCTTCTTCCATTGCTTAAAGCACATTTGTGTGCATTTTTCAACTTTTCATGCACATTTTTCAAATTTATGCACGCCGTCAAATGTGCTTTGGCTGTAAATTGCAGTGCAAGCTCAGACAATGGCCTGATTCAGCAAGAGGCTGTTTAATGTATTACAACTGTGGGTAGTTGGTTTCACACCCTACTTAGGTCTTCTCTGAACACTCCAGACAAAAGTTTCAGTTCACACTGGACAAGATGGTTTCTTAGGTGCATCCAGAAGGGGTCCTTTGCAAAAGACCTCTCGAAATTCTCTGCCCTACTGAGTTTCTCCAACTTCTTCCCATGAGAAAGTTTCCAACAGTTTCAGAGACCTGAAAGTTTCTTTCTTTCTTCCCTGCACCCCACCAGGCTTGTACATTTGTTTATTTCCACTGCCGGTATCAGGGGCAACAGCAACACACATGCTGGCAGCCTGGCCCCCATTTTTATAATTCATGTTCAATCATATGCCCAATATTCTGTGTATGTCCAAACTGATTCATATTTAATCATATGTCCAATATTGGAAGATACTAGTTTCATCTTAAGATAGTCGGGATAAACCTTTGAGTTCTTTCAAGCACCCCAGGAATTTGAAAGATATGCCAGTTAACCGTGATGGTGTGCAGTCTGGGTGTGTGAGAGAGGGCAGGGCAAGCAAATGGCTTTGGGTCATTCTTCTCTGAGCATTA